CATTGAATCTGTCAGAAACTGCCGCCATTTAATCTTCGGAAAAAAATTAGAAGAGCGACCAGTCAAATTTAACATTTATTAAAGAGTATGATCTCTTCTTAAAACTGCACACGGAGACATTACGCCAATTGATTGCTATACACTTAAAGTTTCCACCGACGATGGGATAAACGGGTTGAGCAGGAATGTCAATGCGCTGATCAAGGTGGTAGTCGAGTAGGATTAATTATGCCACGATAGTGAAGGGTTGTGTGAGATTTTTCCCAATAGAGACTTTATGATGGGTTGACTTATTTTCCACTTTAATTCCTCATTGTAATATGCAGCATGCTCTCAGCTCTGATAGCATAGAACGCCACACTCTTTTTCATTCCAGTTTACTCCAATTTTTTTTTTTTTTTGGTAAATATATTTTATTTGCAATCCATTTTATTAAAAGGCAGAAACAAAATAATACAGAAACAAAAATTTCAGCAGCCAAAACTAAAAATTTGATTAAAGTTTATAATTTTTAAATGTTATTTGTTAAGAGTACATAAAATAATTTTTTAATGGTAAAGAGTGAATCTGTTAGATCAAATGTGCTGAAATGAGAATTGAAATCGTGACATGGTAACTTATCCTGTGCAAATATGCTGAAATAAATATTTTAATTTAATCTTTAACAAAAGGTATGTTCAGGTCTGAATGAAGGTCTTTTTTTGTTATGAACCAAGATTGGTGTCTTTGTAGAATTGCAATATTTGAATTAAAAGCAGTGCCACAAAGTTGCACACCGTATGTCCATATAGGTTTTAGTATAGATTTATAGAATAGTAATTTTTTCCAAGATGTAACTGCGATGTATGTCCAAGGAGCCAATAAAGTTGTTTGTTTTTATTTTTGGCTTGTATGTGCTATTTCCAAGTTAGTCGTTTGTCCAAGTGCATGCCGAGGTATTTAACGCTATCACTTTTAGGAATAGTATTGTCATTTAAAAGCAAAGGAGGTCAGTCTCTTCGCCTTAATGTAAATAAAACATGTACGGATTTACTCACGTTTACTTTCATTTTCCAGCAATCTAACCAAGTCTGTATCTTGTTCAATTCTCTTAGCACTAAATTAGTTGCTTCAATTAACGTCTGGCTTGACGACAATAGAGCAGTGTCATCAGCATAAGTAGCATTTAATACATTTTCAGTTTCAGGAATGTCAGATGTAAAGATGGTGTATAGTACAGGGCCAAAAATGCTTCTCTGTGGTACTCCTACACTTATGTTTTTATGTCAGACGTATCGTCATTCATCTTTACATAAAACGACCTGCTTGTTAAATAGGACTTGACAATTAGATATACTTGAGAGGAGAATACCTTTTTAATTAGACCATGATGCCAAACTTTATCAAATGCTTGTTGTGTGTCTGCTAGCGTATGATTGTGTGCGCGCGAGTTACATGTACGAATACATATAAAACACCTGACAATACAGTTGACAAATACGAAGAACTGTTAAAGCAAATTGCAACATAACACCATTTCCGGCTTTTGCAATTTGCTTGAACAAATAAAATAATCAAAATATAATTCGAGAAGTGAAATTCCTAAGAATTGTCGAAATTAATAAAAGTATACTTATTCAGCAACTATATGTTAAAAATAAGTTAATATTATTAATAAGCAATTTGTAATTAGAATAAGCTTCATTTTAAGTCAATTTCATTAAATAAAGCAGTCTGTTTCTGATCGCCATCAACGTCACTTCGTTGCAATCTAACTTGATTTTTTTATCTTTTTTTAAAAAACCCGTTCTCATATATACCAAAGTGATCAGGGTGACGAGCAGAGTTGAAATCCGGATGTCTGTCTGTCCGTCCATCCGTCCATGCAAGCTGTAACTTGAGTAAAAATTGAGATATCATGATAAAACTTGGTACACGTATTTCTTGGCTTCATAAGAAGGTTAAGTTCGAAGATGGGCAAAATCGGCCCACTGCCACGCCCACAAAATGGCGAAAACCGAAAACCTGTGTAGTGTCATAACTAAGCCATAAATAAAGATATTAAGTGAAATTTGGCACAAAGAATCGCATTAGAAAGGGACATATTTGGACGTAATTTTTTGGAAAAGTGTGCGTGGCCCCGCCCCTACTAAGTTTTTTGTACATATCTCGGAAACTACTATAGCTATGTCAACCAAACTCTATAGAGTCGTTTCCTTCAGGCATTTCCATATACAGTTCAAAAATGGAAGAAATCGGATAATAACCACGAGCAGCTCCCATACAAATGTTGAAAATCACTAAAAGTGTGTTAACCGACTAACAAAAATCGTCAGAAACACTAAATTTTACGAAAGAAATGGCAGAAGGAAGCTGCACCCAGGGGCTTTTTAAAAATTGAAAATAGGCGTGGCGTCGCCCACTTATGGACCAAAAACCATATCTCAGGAACTGCTCTACCGATTTCATTGAAATTCGGTATATACCATTTTCTTAACACCCTGATGACATGTACGAAATATGGGTAAAATCGGTTCACAACCACGCCTTCTTCCAATATAACGTTATTTTGAATTCCATCTGATGCCTTCTCTGTATAATATATACATTAGGAACCAATGATGATAGCGGAGTAAAACTTTACACAAATACGGTATTTGATGCGAGAGTATAAAATGTTCGGTGACACCCGAACTTAGCCCTTCCTTGCTTGTTTTCCTCTCAAATTGGCGAACATAGGAAATAAAGTAAAAAATATTCTTATTTTTGCCTTGCAAATGGGGATTTAACTCATTAACAATTGTCGTTACATCGCAAAGAAAGGCTAAATCTGATAAAAAAAAATCTTTATCCCCCATTTTATTACCCAATTCTAATAACTCAGGATCATTGCCGTCCTGAAGAAAAATCTTGACTTCATCCTTTAAATTTAGGAGTCTTTCTATGCATTTGCCACGACTTAGCCATCGAACCTCTTTTAAATTGTCTATGACGAAGGGCTCTGTGTCCCCCTCTAATTTTATTTATAATATTGACAGCCGTCTAGTTGACCTATGTTTTTTATGTCCGTTGTTTCATATAAAGAAATAGAAAAATAAATGCAATTTTGGAGTCTTTCTCGGGTACAGGCAAATATGTACGAACTAATTTTTTCAGTTCGCCGAGTTATGGTTGGGCGAGATAATGGAGTAGCCTCTAAAATTTTACAGACCTCCTTCCCAGTTTCGCCAAAACAGCTACAAAATTCAATGCCCATATCTTTAAAGAGACCCCATCATCAAATGGACGCCCGTTTTTTGCTAAATACATAGCTACAATGTAAGAAGCTTTTTGCTAATTGAACCGTTTTATTATAATCATCATCATCAACAACAGCATCATCACCAACAACAGCAACATCATCAACAACAGCAACATTATCAAAATAAAATTTTAAGTAAAACAGGGCTTTTAATTCATACAGAATACGTGTCCGTTCGTCACCTGAAATAAGGTGAAATCGAGTGTGACAATTCATATAATGTCTTTCTACATTAAATTTCACTTTTGTTTGCATTATTTTATAGCAAATAACGCATTGCGCTTCGCCATCTCTATTTTCAAGGAAAAAGAAATTGTGTAGCCTTTCTTTATTGAACATTTTGAATGTTGTTTTGCAAGTGTGTACCATAAAAAAAATGTTGCTATGTATGTGCGCACGTTCTTCTTTGCTCAACTGCTGAACACATAGCAACAGAAAGTAAAAGCATTGCTTCGCATGTACCGAAGTCAGAAATCTAAGCTTAGTCTTAGTTTTTGACGATCTTTTTTTTTTTTTTTGACGCTGGCAGAATTGGCGTCATAGCGTACATGTTTCGACTGCATTTGCTTGCCTATACTCCGAGTATAGGCATGAAAAAATGCGCATTATTTTGAGCGGCTCTGTTCTAAAGTATCAATAATGTAATTAATTACACGGTGGCATTGTTCGGGAGTACTATGACATCGACGAAACCCAAATTGGTGTTCAGGTATCATCTTATTCTCTTTTAGTATTGGCAATACTCTGCGCAAAAACATTTTTTCAAATATTTTGGAGAATAGAGACAACAAACTGATTGATCTGTATGAAATGATTTCGTTCTCAGACTTAGCTGGTTTAGGCACCATCACAATTTCAACACACTTCCACTGAGTAGAGAAATGGTTAAGCCTTAGGCTACGTTTATGACTGAGCGGATTCGCGTCGCGCGATGCGATGAAAGTCGCTCTATCGCTACCAGCGGTTTCTCCATCGTAATCGCTAGCGATTGAGTATTTACAGTACAGCGAAATCAGAAGCGATTGAAAATTTATAACGTCAAATCCGTTCGTAATTTCTTTTACTTTTCATTAAAAAAAAGATATGTGTGCACGCGTTCGTAAAATTTTGCTTACAGAAAGTAGTCTTTTAGTACGTCAGCAGATTTTAAGATTTTGTAAACAGAAAAGATTCCAAGTGCATCCAATTTGCAAAGAACGCAAAAGCCATGGAGAGTTCCATCATTTACACACCCGCCTTCTACAATATCCTGAGAAATTTATGGAGTATTACCGAATGAGAATTGACATGTTTAATTATATCTTGAATAATATATCCAAACATATAGAAAAAAATACTAGAAATCAGAAAACACCAATTGATGCTGTAGAAAGGCTCGCACTGACCATAAGGTAAGTAATATACAATACTATGTATCCATTCCATAAATTTTTATTCAATTTCAATATTTATACTTGTTCACTTACATATGTAAGTATGTATTTAATATAATATTACACACATTAATATTAAGTAGCTTAATTAAAATTTTGCGCATTTGGAAAAATGAAGCTGTTTGAATCCTGCGTTTCAATAGTTGGGCTGCTACTCACATAACTAATAAAAGAAACTGGCGTAGCCGATTCCTGATTATCTCTACCGTACATAATGCCGTATAGAACCTCCTACATTTTCATGCGAAATTTTATTTTTTTTCTTCACCCATGAAAAATATATGTACTTTTTGAAACTCATAAGATAATGGTAATCATCATCCTCCTCATCGTTGGTTTTTTCTAGAAGCTTAAGCTTCTTTTCCTCCAACTCCAAAAACGCTGAGATTTCCGCAAGTTTTTTCTTTAATTTTTTAGGTGTAGGCTGCATCAATTTTATGGATTCAGGAGTTTCCGATTTATCTTCATTATGAAGTTCAACCAATTCATCACAACTTTTTTCATTGATCAAGTTACCTGACATGGAGCGCGATTCCATAATATCTTGTAAAAAACACATATCCTTAAAATGTGTCCATTTTGAATGCGGCATTGCAGCACTGTCTGAAGCCACCACATTTTCCTTACGAAGTTCTCTACGATAGGTGTCTTTCAAGTTTTTCCATTTTTCTGCACCAGAGCCAGCTGAAACATAATAATAATAATTTCGTTGAAATTTATTTTCAGGTTTTTAGCAACGGGAAATTCATTCCAATCTTTGGCTTTTTCTTATCGCATAGGAATTGCTACAGTGGCCAAAATTACTAGAGAAGTATGTGCCGCCCTTTGGACGTCTCTGGTTTCCATACATTTGAATCGCAAAACAAATGAAGAATTGATAAAAATAGCAGACGAATTTTACTCCAAATGGGGATTTCCGAATTGCATTGAAAGTATCGACGGCAAATATATTCGTTGCAAAAGGCCACCGCATTCTGGCAGCATGTTTTTCAACTACAAACACTTTTTTTCCATCGTTTTACAAGGCGTTGCCTCTGCTGACTACAAGTTTACTGCCATTGGCAAACAGAGTGATGGTGGCATTTTTGAAACTTCAACATTACATAAGCTTATAGAAACTGGGGAATATGAAATTCCAGAAGAGCGGAATCAACCAGGCACACAAATTGCAGCACCATTCGTAATGCTTGGGGATGAAGCATATCCACTCAGAAAATATTTGTTGCGCCCATATTCTAAAACAAATTTGAACAATGACTCTGAACTATTCAACACAATGCTATCTAAATCCAGAAAATCCATTGAATGTGATTTTGGTGTTATTACAAACAAATGGCGTTTACTAACCAAATCAATCGAAACTGATATTTATGGTGCAGAACTATTTGTTAAAGCTATTTGTTTGCTACACAATATTATAATTGATAAAGAGGGAGTTTGTATGCAAACCTTAATGCAAGTTCAGCAAACTATTCCCATAAATATGAATATGCAGAGGCACTATAACAGAAGCTCTGAAGCTGCTACGACTATACGAAACAATTTTAAGGAATATTTTGTTCAAAAAAATGTTATATTCACTTAAGTAAAGGTTCTTTATTGCATAAAAATAAAATAATACTATTACTTACCTTCCAAACCGCATTCTTTTTCTACTTCTTCCCAAGCTTTTCTGATTTCGTTTCTATTATGATAATCTGGATGATGCAGATTCCACAAACATTCTTTATTTCGCACTTTTTCAATAAATTTGTCCATCGTGTTTAACGCGATTCGCTCAACTGAATCAAAAATTTTGATCGCTGATTTTCGTCGCTAGCAGTCGCTCCATTTTCGCTGAAACCGCTTTTCGCTGAATCGCTGCACGATAAACACCTCCTTGTGGATTTATGTATTTGATCGCTAGTAGCGATCTTCATCGCATCGCGCGACGCAAAGCCGCTCAGTCATAAACGTAGCCTTAAAATAGAATTATATATATGTAAGTGTTAGCAACATAATTCCTTTTTTAGGTAAGCATTTAGCTACTTTGGCATCAATTTTGTCATATCCTGGGGCTTTCTTTTTAGACAATTTCTCAATTTCAGAACGTATTTCAGCGGTTGTAATATGATTGAGTCGTAAAGACATTTGACATGCTATGTCAAGGAATTATAATATTTCAGCATCATTGTTCCTGCCACTGTTATCAAAGGGGGTGAAAGTTGCTTCACGGTATTTACTAAATGCATTAGCTTTACTGTTATCTGTTCTCCACCAAACGTTGTTACTGTCTTTGATCGGTACCTTTCTTTTTTACGCCTTTTTATGTATTTAATAGCATTCCATATCTTAGGGTCTTCATTATTTTTATAATTTAAACTCGCAATATATTCGGATATCGGTTTATTTTTGAAATCAGCTAATTTTTCTTTTAGCTCCTTTGTGGCTTTGTTTAGAATAGTTTTGTCAGTTGGATCTCTGCTGGTTTGCCATTTTTTTCGTAAACGTCTTTTATTCTATATTAATGCTCTAATTTCTGTAGACACGTGAAATGAGTTGTGAGACGAGAATTCATTCCTCTTTTGGGGAGTAGCAGCAAAAGCAGCTTCACGAATTAAGTTTGTAAAACCTTCAACTGTATCATCCAGTTCAGCTGAAATTTTTATAAAGGTGTTTAGTACTACATTTTGAGTTAACCAGTTTTGAAATATGCAAATATCACATTTGTTGCTTAAAGCAGAATATTTTCGTGGTTTAACATTGATTAATGTGTTGTAGCTGACAATAATTGGCGAGTGATCAGAGTTTAATTCTTCTGAGCTGAGTTRRGATACCTTTATGTACAGCAAAATCTAAGAGGTCAGGAATTTTCAATGGATCACTTGGCCAATAGGTTGGCTCACCACTTGACAGAGTTTTTAAATTATTCTTTATAATGCATTTGTAAAGCTCTCTTCCCTTTGGGTTGGAATACGTGAGCCCCACCAAGGATGCTTGCAGCGCTGAGTTATCGTAGAACAAAACGCCACACTCTTTTTCGTTCCAGTTTACTCCAATTATGTACGGAGCTTTTTAACAAACAATAGTAATAATAATACAGTATATACGGACAAGGTCAAGGTTTACTCTCTGATTTTGCTAAAATTCACAGATGTTGTTGGTGTTATGATAAAACTAAACTGTTTTGCCCTTGGATTTTTCATTCAAAAGAAAAGCAGTGTTAAATTTGTCAATTTCGTAATTTTTCTTGGGGTCGCTTCTGTTATTAAATTCACAACTTCTGTTAATCTCTTCAGAAAGTATTCACATCAAGTGAACTTCTACCATTACTGACCATCGCTAGTCACAACATTTTCCCATCTTTCTGCTAAACTCTAACATATTAGAAAATGCGAAAAATATCGCAGTGTGTACGTGCTTTATAGCCATGACAGACGACAGCGCTAATTTGCATTAGCAGGCTTAATTTACATTTACTTGCGCATTTGACTCATAYTAATGCAAATTTTTAATGCACAAGAATTTCGTGCATTTAGCTGAATCTACCAAATTTGAGTAGGCAACACTGCTCAAAAATAGCCGATTTTTGAGAGGTAAGCTGTTTTATATTGATAATTAAATTATATGTAAGTATATTAACAAAAACAAATTTTAATATTTTTAGATGGCAGAAAATAAATAACGAACAGTTTGCTATACATTTTTCCAATATTCTTATCTTTTTCTCACACTTTTTTCGCATTACAATAAATTATTGCTTTTAATTTCATCTCTATTATCTTTGAGCTTAGTTAATAATAAACAAATTTTTTCGTTTAATTTATATTGATTTTCCAAAAATACCAAAATTTCTATTAATAATTTCTCTTATTCGTTTTTATTTCACTTTTTTTAAATAAATAAACAAAATTCACAATTAGCTGTCTAAATGCACAAGTCCGCCGTCTGTCACCATAATATTTCAATGCGCATTAACGTTGTTTAATGCGTATTAATTTTTCTGGTCTGTCAGGGCTATTAGTATGGCTTACCCCGAAACTGGGGATAAAATGGTTATTTCCGGATAGAGGATGCTCTCCAGATTAAGAATATACTATCTGCATAGCCACAAGAAACTTACCGTTTTCGAGATATTCGCATTCTAAATCTAAAAATTTACAAAATACTTTATTTTAATAAATTTCTCAATACATTATGAATTTTACACTAATATAATCCAACATTATTGCCACTAAAAAATCACTAAATAGTTTTTACAAATTGATTTATTTATACAATAACAAAATACTTGAATGCAAACAACAAATATTTAAAATCTATATATTCAGAAATTAAAGTAAGTTAATGCATTATGAAATTTAAACTTATATTTTTAAACATAATATCCACTAATAAACCATGGGGCTATGTGTAGAAGTTCCCGCAAGTAAGGAAAGTTTTCTGAGCACCATTCACTTGAGAGTGGCAAGAATCGATAACTTTACATATGGCTCAAGCAGCTCACGACTTCCGGTCTTAGATCAAGTATCCTCTGAATAGCTAAAAAACATCCGTTTGAAGGCGAACTAAAGTAAGAAGGCGAGCAGTGCTCTCCAAAGTTTGGAACAGCCTACGTACCACTCCCATTAAAAATTTTAAAACAGCCTCGGATGAGATTACTGACTGATTATGATCACTGCAAACGTATTTCGATATAAAGCCATGTACCTGAAAAGTTCAGTCCTTTAATTGAGAAGGTGCTGACATCACCACCGTTTAAATAATGCGATGGACGGGACAAGGATTGAGACGAATAGATCCTAGTGACATTTACTTCAGTGGCTATAAAAAGGAGCGCAAATTCAGTGTGGAATTCGTGGTGGGATAGAAGTCACCGAGTCCTGGCATTCACCTCGGTGGATAAATGTTTAGCCACAATCCGCATCTAAGTGAAGTTCTTTAATATAAATACCGAATCGCACCAACGCCCCGACGGAAGAGAAGGACGATGTGACCAAAGATGCCTTTTATGAGTGCTTGGAACGCACTTATGAGAGCTGTCCCCAACACGATGTCAATATCGTGCTTGGCGACTTTAACGTGAGGGTGGGTAAAGAAGATACCTGTGACACAACGGTCGGTTATTAAAGCCTCCACGAGGAAACATTCCCAATTGGGTTAAGACTGATCGACTTCGCCGGGGCCCGAAATATGGTTATCTGTTGTACTAGATACCAGCATAAGAAGATACATCAAGCTACCTGGCTGTTTCCGGATCGCAAAACCAACAATCAGATCGATCATGTTGTGATAAACGGAAGACACGGCTGCAGTGTTTTAGAGGTTCATACGCTGCGGCATTGACTCGGACCGAGAATTGAAGAGAGAACCGGGAAGCCGAAATGCGTCAGTATGATGAGCTTGACAAACTAGCCGACAGGGGTAATGCTCGAAAACTCCACGAAAAGATGCGGCAAATAGCAGATGGCGAATCCGATTCCCCAATCGAAGACGATGGAAGAAAATAATTCGAGCTGCAGATCTGAATAGAGAAGTTACATTCTTCTACAAGACTGTACAACTGCTGCCACACGCCGATGACATCGAATTCACTAGTCATAATGTCGCCGTTAGTTTTGCTTTCTCCAGGTTGGACGAAGATGCAAATAGGTCGGGTAGTGAACAAAAGCAAAACGATATATCTCCTGTTATCAACCCAACTGTCGTCYACTCGCGACTAGGCGTCGTGGTCGCGGTGAATAAGCTGTATGAGATATACGAGGAGATTGAAAAAGTTCAGCGTATTAAACGACAGCGGCTAGAAGAAGAATAACTCCTGATTATTCGGTCTTACAAACCAAATAAAGCAGATTGAAATGTTTTCTTTTTTTTATAAGTTAAGCAAGTTTTATTTTATTCAAAATAGTCTCCTTCTGCTTCAATACGGCTGTTTGCATGGTCCAAAAGTATGTCGAACGAGTGGTTTAGCTCGTTAGTCGGTATGGCCACCAGTATGCGGGTGCAAACTTTTGAATGGCATGTACGACTCCATAACGCTTTCCTTTCATGCGCAAATTCACTTTTCTGAAAAGGAAGAAGTCGCACGGTCCATATCCCTTTGAAAACGTTGAAACCACTCGTGCACTCTGCTATGGAATAGGGAATAATCGCCATAAACTTGTTACATCAACAGAAACGTTCCGGTAAAAGTTTTACCAATTTTAAAATAAAATTTAATGTTGGCTTTTTGTTCGAGGTCATTTTCCCACCGACAACACAAACAGACTGACACTTAAAACGCAATTCCTTCACTTCCAACCAATGAAATGTTATGAAATTCTCACTACACAACCGATAAAAATAGCAGATTCTAACACACCTGTCGCCATATAGATGCCGCCACCAGGGGCGTTAAATTCAAAAAGTCCCGTTTACTTTGGCACACACGTTGTATATTTCGTCATCTCATACAGTTTAAAAACATGTTGCGTCCGTATATCCTGGAAAATGCATCTTTACTTTGAATTCAAATGATTCCAGACCACATACAGTCCACTCTACATAGTTTTTGATATTTCTGTATTTCTATGATGTTTCTTTATTTTATTTTTAGTATACCTCTTGTTAACCAAAACAAAAAGTTTTTAAGGAAATTTGGATACAGTTATCAGATACCATTATTATCATCTTCACTACCATTAATTTCGCATGTGTTCTTTATTACGAGCTTCTTGTGCTTCCTTCGATAGTTCCCCAATAGGCAAAAGGACACTATTAACAGATTGAGGTCCGTATAT